ATTCCTGATACATAACATATAGAGTTAATTTTGCTTAATTGCATGTCATATGGGTCTCAGAGCTTAGTGGGAATGGAGATGCTTTTGTGCACATGGTTAAACTTTTGCACTTTGAGTACTATGAAAGTGAATTTCAACCCTACACTCTCCATATAGATCCTGTGTGTTTGGAGAGTATTAAGGTGTTCAGGTGCTCCTCCAGCCATAGGCCTTGGTGACAGGCAGGTACCTAGTGCCAGTTTTCAGTCACACTTGGTTTTGTGCCTCATCTCAAATAGAAAATGTCAGTCTGGCTGTTAAGGAAAATCAGTTAGGAGAGTTTCAAGATGCAAATATATTCTCAAGGCTCAGGTTTCTGTACATGTAAAGAGTAGTAGCAAAGTATTTTTGTACTGGTTTACTTTAAAAATAGTGTCACAGAATCTGATAGCAGTGCTAAGAAAAATAGTTTGTGAAAAAGCTGTCTTCATTACTGACTGCAAACTGTAAGGGTGTTGGGAAGGAGAGAGTGGACTTCCTTGTAAAAACATTTCTGTGCTTTTAATCTGCCTGGCAAATCATTGGCGATTAAATGATAAACTGAGTTGTTTGTTTGAAATGTCATACATCCCCACTGCAGCCTGCCCACACCACTAGAGACTTTTAGGAATTAAGGAATATAGGAACATAAACATCCACAATGTATTTAAATGTGAATTAACAAAAGGCAACAAATACAGAACAATTTTAATGCACGCATTAAAATACTCTAGAGGATACATATTAACCTGCATTACTCAGGGTTTGTCACTGTCTCATCTCCTTTGGACAGCAAACACCAAGAAAGAGACAGAAGGATGATTTACTCTCCCGTTAGCTTCTGTCTCGTCTGGAGAAATGTCTGCTGTGCAGCTCTCCGGATGTGCTGCTCCACGGGTCTGACAGCTCCTCATGCTTTGCAGGCACTGTTTTCTCTCATAGCTGAAACTCACAGTTGTCTGAAATCTTTGCTAAACAAGTTGAAGCCAAGCTTTGCTTTACTGACAGGCAGACTCGGGGCTAAAAGGTGACGTATCTGAGAAAGGAGGAATCCCAGAGAGTGAGCTTTCTGGGTCTGCTGTCCCATGGCAAGGGGGAGAAGCTTTTAAAAGAGCCTTTGCATCATGGATACCACAAGGTTGAGGTCCCCTTGCTGAATACATCACCTCTGAGGGGGAGCTGTGCAGGAGCTAAGTTGCAGCCTTGCAGCCCCTCTATTGATGCAGTGTTGCTCTGCAAGCTCCCCTGGTTCCTACAGGAGGCTTCTGCAGACTTGCCAGATCTCTATGAAAGATGCAGGAGAAACCTTCTGGGACAGATATAAATCAAACTGAATTAGAAGTACAGCTGAAGAGGTAGGCATAGCCTGTTGCCAGCACACCTAGTCACCTCCAGTCTTCTGCTCACTTGGAACATTTCTTAGGCTCTATTGAACAAATGTCAGGATACTCCTCATTTTTAAACAATTTTCCAATTGTGCCACTGCTTGTTTGTGTATATCTGTATGTATTTAGATAGATGGAAACACATACATGCACACATCAATGTTTATTAACTCTCACTGAATACAGCAGCAAAGTCAATCCTTAAAGAAAAGACATGCCATAAAAATTTTTCATAACATTGTTAATATAAATTTCATATTTAAATTAGATTGAAAGTGACATATAAATTCAATGGCATAAGATACTTCTATGTTTCAGAAATTTCCAGACTGACTGTGGATAGCTTAGTGTGATAACAAGACAATCAACTCTATCACAATGCTCACCGTCTTCCTTTCACATTCATTGCTAGATTTCAAATTAGTAATGCTATCCTGGGGTAATGCTGATGAGAAAGGAGATCCAGCTTCCCTCTTTTCTGTCATTAAATAAAAGTGTGTCCAGCTTGTGTGACGTGCTTGGCAGCAGTGATATTTTAATATTGTTAGGAGTGGGAAATATTTTCCTTGCCAGTAATGAGGTTCAGTGTCAGCTAAAGGTGGTGCCCCACAGGAAGATTTTAAACAAAATTACTATATTCTAATACAAAAGAGGCTAGAAATATGCTATTTTTGTGAAAGGCATTCAGTATGGAGTGATCCTCACTAATGAGGAAGGGACCTGCCAGAGCTATTTTTAGTTCCACCCGCTGGTTTCACTGCTATTCTTACAGCTATGGCTGGCAGTGAAATAGGATGGTGGTGTCTGTTCTCATCTAGAAATGGAAGAAGAATGGAAATATGTGCGTGTATGAAGATGAAAAGATAAAAAGAGCAAGAGCTGAAGAAAAAGTGAACTTCCCTATGTAGCTGCAGATGTGACATTCATTTTATCTTTCCTTGGAAGGGTTTTTCTTCTGCAAGGCCACATTTCTTGTCTGATCTAAGGGCTAGCAGTGTGCCAGGTGCAGTCTGGGGACTGCAAGTTTTACTTGGAAATTATTACAGTTAAGAGAAACCATTAAATAATTTCCTTTATTGTTTTGGAGACCTAAACCAATACTTCAGCTTTATACTAATGCTTCACTGAAACAGTGAGGCTGAGAGGGATTCACCTTATATATCATCACTTGGGAGAAGGAAAATACATCAATGAATCATATGCAGGATAGTAAAACATAAAAAAAAATAAACATGGAGTCAGGTAGGGCTCACAAAAGCCCTAAAACCAGCTAGAGATGGGGCTGAAAGATGTGTGAGAGCACCCAAGATGGAGGTTTGAATTATGAGCTTTGTGTGGCATTTGCCACTGTTGTATTGTGAGAGCACAGTTAAATCATCTTCTACTACTATTTCTGAACTCAGGTACAAACTGTGACCTGATCTGGTGGACAAAGACATTCAACAACAGCTTTATCAATTTTTAGTTGTTTATTAACCATATTAGTCCATCATTACCCCATTTCTAATTGTGTGAATTGGATGATTTTTTTTTAGAGGGGCAAAAGGAGCTGAGTTTTCTTTGGTAACTTTGACCAGGCTGAGGGCTCTTTTGTGTCTCTCTAATGTTACTTGTCTTCACCCTTCTGTGCGTGCTCTGACCTCTCTTAGTGTGCTTGTGGGGTGTCCCCAGCATGGCTGGCTGGCTGGAGATTGCCCTGGAAATGTTTGCTGAGGACCTTCTGGCAAAGACTGGAAGGAGGTTGTGTTTCTCCTCTAGGGATGGCACATAGTTACACCATCCTCCCAGGGTCCTCAGAGGCCCTAATCTTTGCAGCCTTTTTGCATGGCACAGGGGGAGGTGGGGACCCAACATGCTGCAGAGGGAAATCCCAGCTCCAAGCCATAATCCTGAGGAGGTCCAGGAACTTCACTGCAAAAAGCCAAGACAGGTGGGAGGGATTGAGGTGATCATCAAGCATGTGCACAATGGAGAGAGATACTAGGTTAAACTAAATTATATGTGTGGATCTCAGCAGGGTTTGACCTTCTCACCATTTATCGCTGTTAAAGAGAGGCAGTTCAGAGCAGGACCAAAAACAGACTTTCACATGCCAAGAGAACTGTATTGACAGCTCCACAAAGCTCCAGGCTGGCGTGGGAGCCTAGCTAGGGTAGAGTATGTTGTGCCTTCCCTGCCTTGTTCTGAGAGATCTCTGTTTCGAGCACCAAATAGCAGGAGTTATATTTGCATATGATATCACTTCTGTAGAAGAAGCGAGTTATTCATGAGCAGTAGCATCTTCACATCACATACAACTGCAGACATGGTTGAGAAAACAACTGTTTAATTGAAGTAGAAATGACACTGGGAAATTAAAAGAGGCTGCAAAAACCTCCCAAGTAGTTATTACTCACTCAAAGCAAATCCTAGCTAGACATGTAAGGCATGGGATGCATACAAAGTTCTGGGAGAAACAGAATTTATGGGTAGACATACCTCTGCCCTCAAGACGTGTTGTTTCTTCAGCTGGTCCCCCAAACTCTCTTTAAATAAATAGTTTGGGATAACTTTTCTCTGATTCTCCGGAGTACGGAGCATGCTGCAAGGGACAAAAACCCACACCCGACAGACTGGTGACTCAAAATATAGAGGCTACTACCTGTCCCTCTGGTGGGATTCCTGCAAAGACAACCTGCCTCTACAGTGGGTCCATTGGGTGATTCTTCTGACATTAACACCGCTGGGCACAGGGTGTGATGGTGCCACGGGCACTGTGCCTGCACAGCGATGCTGTCTCTGCCCGGGCTGTCACTGCCCAGGGTCCTGCCTGTGCAGACCATGTCAGAGCTGGGTCTGAGAGGCTCCAGAGAGCTCCACAAGGAAGGACAGCCATAGTCAAGTATTTTTGTCCTCGGTTCTGCTTATCCTGAATCAGTTCTCCCAGCTTCTTTCTGTGATTTCTTTCCTTCTGTAGCAGCTGTCTGGGATTTCAGCTGTTCTGCATGAGCAGAGGTGCCAGCACCCTTTTTAAATCACTACAGAAAAGTAAGGGTGCATTTTCTATTGTGCGAGAAAGAAGAAAGAACAAAGTTTGGGGGTTGATTGTGGTTTTTTTGGTTTTGGGGTTTTTTTGTTTTCCCCTTGTGCTTTCCAAGTGCTTGTCAGAGATAACTAGAGGAGGTCTGGAAGTTATTCACAAATTAATTAGCCTCTGAAACGCCAGAACTGGCAGCCACGGCAGCTCAGCCTGGAGCAGCCGCATCCCTGCAGCAATCAGTTCATATTCCCGTTGCTCTCCGGGGGAACGTTAAGGGTTAATTCAGTAGCTGTGCATTTAATAGCACAATTTAAAGGGGAAAAAATGACACCCTTCTCCCCTGCCTTGCTGGTTGCGGATGGTTCGCTCTGCCTGGCTGATCACATGCTCCCGAGCCCCCGGTGCTGCAGCAGCCCCAGCTGCTGCTGCTGATGGGTCGGTGCTGCCCGGGACGCCCCCGGCCCCCGCCTGCCCATGCCCGGCAGCCCTCACCTCCGCTTTAAGGGAGGGAGGGCGCAGGATGAGCCCTTGAGCATATGGGTGGAAATTTGGGAGGTACCCATTCTCTCACAACCGTTTCCAGCTCTAACCATGTCTATTTGTTGTTGCCTTTTTTTCAGGGACTATGGATCTTCAAAGAGAAAATCAGGTAAGACACCAGCCTTTTTTTTTTTAATATATATGTACTGCATGATTATAGAGAAGACCTTGCCCCCTGCTTTCCCGTGTTAAACCTTCCATTTATTTTGTGTGGCATGAAATTGTATAGCAGTTTAACTTTTTATTACTGAATCCTGCTGGAGATAAGCATCAGGTTTTTTTCTTTTGCTGGAGAGAAGAAATCCACCTTATATAGTATTGCAGTTAAAATGACTGCTCTTCTCTGGTTGTATTTATATAGCTCTGTCTCAAATCTGAAAGGATAATTGTATTAAATTTCTTTCTCTTTCATTACAAATGGTCAAAATGCAGACTCAGAGTTGGGGTTCTTTTCTGGAGGGGAAGGGAATCCTTTTCTGTTCTGGTTTGAATCTTTTATTTTGCCTTTCCAAGAGGCTCTGGTGAGGCTTCTGATGCAAAATGTTCTCAGTGTCTATGCCTGGATTTGGGTTGCCTCAAAGGCTCTAGCTCAGTGTTTTGTTTTTAAAATCCTGGATTGAAATGTCCTATGAAACTCTGATTTGAAACTATATAAATCTAATTTTTCCCCTTCCCATGTAGCTCTTAGTGATTTTTACAGATGTGTTTTCAATAGAGACGTGTAATTATGGGCCTCTGGGTTTGGCTGCTCTGAGCTGGATGTGTCAGGGCTTTCTATTTTTTTGTTTTTTAATTTTTTTTCTCCAAGCAGCATTGAGCACCTGCAACTCTCATTGACTTTGTTTGGAATCTTGGATGCTCCAAATTGCATTCAGGGAGAGGCCTTTCAAACCAACAGCAACTCCTGGAAAACTCTGACATGTGTGCAGGGGAGGGGAAGATTTTTTGATTCTTGCTTTTTAAGATGATAAAGAAACACTGCACTGGCTTAGTCTCTGGGAAGGAAGGGAAGATGAATGTAATGCACTGGACTGCAATGAAGATCACTGGATAGATTGATTTGTTGGTTAATTATTAGGGCTTTTAAGCTGTCATCCTATAATAAGCTAAGTGATACACTTAAGTGAAGCTTTTAGTTAACCCTGATGGCCTCTGCATCAAATGGCAGTTTCCTTTGCAGGCCGATACTTTTAGTACCTTTCCCTGAATGTCCCTGCAATGGGTTGTTGTAATGAAGAGGCAAGTGTGGTACAAGGTGCTGGTCCAACACAATAAACTAGGGCATGCTTTGTCTTCCTAATCTTCTAAAAAACTTCTGTCTGGGTTGCACTTCTAGGACCTCCTAAATGTAATGTAAAAGTGTGTTTTTACAACAGCCTATGAATTAAGCAGCAGTGCTTTCTCCAAAGAGGTTGACCATAAATGCAAAGGTCCAAGTAACTTGGTGGAAGGCAGAGCTGAGGATGGGAGTTCCTGGCTCGGTGCCACATCCTGAGCACTGGTGGCTTTTGGGCCATGTAAAGCCCATTGAAAAACATTGCTGAAGTCTCTGGGACAACCTGATTTAGCAATGACAAGAACAGCATTAGGAGACCAGGAGAGCTTTGGGCTCATTGCACCAGTTGACATGAAAGAGTATTGCAACTCATGTGCAAGAGATGCAAGGGACTGCTTGGGGAGTGGAAGGAAACTTCTGCATTTCCATTCCTGTGGCTCTGGTGGCAAGTTGGAGATGATTTGCCATGACACTGTGAAAAGAGCAATTAAGTTGAGTCAGTGTAGCTGAGATGCCATTTGTGGATGCTGGACTCTTTAGCCCCCTGAGCTGAGCCATCCCAAGTGACACGTTCGTCTATCCCTGTGAGGGACAGTCTGGTCAGCCTCCCTCCTTTGCCATATCTCCTTCTGGGACTGTTTCCTCTTCTCTGCTTCTTGATGCTGGGCTGCTTGCACAGCTAAGGCTTGGAAAAAGTGGGGCTTAGGGATGCTTTTTCTCCACTTACCCTGTACAAAGAGGAATGCAAAGCAGCTCTCTGAACAAAGTGAACTGCATAAAGGGACTCTGTTCTTGGCCATCTTCTTGCTTGATTTTAGAGTGGCAGAGGAATGCTTCCTTCTGTTTGGAGCTGAATACTGTGGGAGTGTGTACACAATGAGCGAAGGAATATGCCAAGGGAGTTGGCAATTACAGCCTCTAACAAAGACCAGCTTTATGACACTTGAACAAGTGATGGGGTAAATAAGCACAGATTTTCAGGATTGCTGTGAGGGTCTTTTAAGACAAAAATTAGCTTTGAAATGTAGTTTCCTCTGTAGGTGCAGACACTACTCCATCTTTAAGTGAAAGACAAATCTGCACTTTTAAATGCAAGCAACAAATGGGACCTGTGAACACATCTTCTGTCTTGACCAAAGATGTGCTGGAAGGAGGATTTTGGGTGTGAGCACAGCTGTCCCACACTGTCCAGCAGGAATCCCACAGCTGCTGTGTCTCAGGCATGTGCAGGCACGACACAAGCATGGCCAATTGCAGAAACATGTGGAGAATGCCTCTAACAGCCAGCATCACCTCTACTCTGACCTCTGCCTTGCCAGAGTGAGTGTCTAGCTAGTCCTGTGCTTGCCCCTTAGAGAAGGGAGAAACTGGATAAGTTCAGAGTTTAACAGGAGTTATGGAAACATTTATCGCTGCAGCTAATACTGGTTGTAAACATTTGAGACCTCCTGAACCAAATGCAACAGCATGGCACATCCTTAGCTAAACAAAAGGGGGTCTTGTGCTGATCTGGGGCATCTTTGCATGCCAGCCCTGAGCCAGGCTTCCTTTTGTGCAAAGTGCTATGTAAACACACAGCCCTTTGCTTGGATGTGATCTAATCATAAATGCTTTAACCTGGAGTCAGCTTGAAGGCCTGGAGCTTCAATGGAAGCAACTGAGGCTCTGAAATCATGGGCGTTTGTGGTGGCCCGAACTGCAGTGTGTGTTGATGTGCTGAGACCTTAAACCTGTGGGGCTTTATTTGACATGCTGTGGAGATGCTTCCAAAAGCTCCCTTCATGTTTCCAGGCAATTGAATTGTTGCTCTGTGACCATCTGTCAGTGCTGAAGAGCCCTCAGCACAGCTGTGAGGAGTGGTTACCATGGGCATATTCTGTATGCTCACAAGAAGTGGTCTCATCTTGGTCCATCCAAAGACCCTCTGTAGTAAAACTAGAAGGTATTACTTTTCAGACTCAAATTTGTTCATCCCATAAGCCAAGTGAACAGCTACTCATTTGTCACTCAAAATAGACATTATTCTATGCCGGCATCCATTGTGTGTTTTTTCTGTCCTCAAATCAAAATAAGGGTAGAATTGCTGCAAGTCTAATAATGGATATTTGCATGGTACATTACAAACCACAAATTAGGTTAATCCACTCTGCAAACCCTACCAGCTACCATCTGTGCATGGTGGACTAATTAACCCTTGAGATATCTGCTAATCCTAGTGTGGCTTGTAAAACTAATTGGAGTATGTTTATTCCCAAAGATGTCATTTTGTCCCCCACATACGCCTTGCTGGCTAGAGCAAGCTACAAACTCCTGGAGTTAAGATCATCTTGCCCTCTTGCCTTGCTGAGAATTTTTCTTGGCTGATTTCATACCGAAGCTGTCACTTCCCAGTCATGAAGCTGAAGCAAACATCCGGGACCTGGTGTTTGGTGGCAATGGGGAGTCAGTATGGGCTTTACAACTTTTCTGCACTGAGTCTCAGTGCTTCTCAACTATTGAGAGGATTCACCTTGCTAACTGTGGGGTCAGACCCAGCAGAAGAGATGCTACTTCACCATGGCTTTCAAAGCAATGGTGTGGATCCTTGTCACCTGCCTGGTAAGCGACCAAGTCCTCGTGTTTACTACTTTGAGTGTGCACTAGCAGAAGCACGGCTGGCCATCCCCTTCTGAAATCATAACGAAACCCCCCCTGCTGACAGCCCAGCTTGCTACTGGGGGCAGAGCTGGCTTCAAGCCACTGCTCAGCAGCTTTCTCTGGCACCTTGTTGCGATGTGGTAGGATGCTCCTCCAGCTGAGGAGGAATAAGTCTTTAAAAAAATAGAAGTTATGGCTCCTTCAGTATGCAGTGTCTCCTTTCCCTCGTTGTTCAGTTCCTGTCTGTGTCAAGTTGGCTGAGCTTTGGCTGGCTCAGACAGCTGAAGTCTCTTTAAACAGCCCCTGTAATTGAGCACTTAGAATATTAACTTAACAACTTGGTCCAAGCCAATGTTACCTCAGTGAGGATGCTGATGAGACTTCCCTGCACGAGTGAACCATCTTTCAACTGCGTTCCCATGTCCAATTTTTGGGCTAGTAAGATTATGGCTACACACAGACAACAATCATTGCTTTCTTTCCCTCCTGTAATCTAAAACTAGGAAGGATGTATCCACTGGCAAGTAAATAAAAACTTCAGAGTCTGTTGGAAGCTACTTCATGAACTTTTTATAGAAACATCTGCAATGCTCTCTTTTCCCTCAATGGGGAAATTACTAAGTAGAGTTGAGAGAGTTGCAGCACTGACAGAAGCAGGGCCCCAAGTGAGAAACAAGCAGATCATGGTAACAACACCACTGGCCCTTGTGGCTGATCACTTTGTGGGATGCTGCTTTGGGATTATGGGTGGAGCTGATGGCAAAAGTTGTTTCTTCTTTACTAGGAAAACCATCTTCCTCACTCTCGCGCTGAGGATGTGTATTCTGTCAGCCTCAGGGAGTTGCCTTATGCTACTTTGTTATTAGGGATAGTTTTTTCTTCTTCCTTTGTAATTACAGAGGGAAATGGCTCAACTTTTGGCTTTTTCTGCCTTTACAAGCTGAGCTATGCTCATTACTTCACACCTTAACCTTTCTGGTCCTGTCACATTGCACGTGCCTAGCTTGCACTTACAGCTCCATGGCAAGTCTTGCTTTTTTGGTTTTTTTATAAATGAGCTTTATTTTCTTAACTTAGTTTGAACTGCCTCCTTTAAGATGACACAGAGAAAAGGAATAGTGTGTGCTAGCCCTTCTGTGCCTAATCATTCAACAGGGTCACAAATATGTGAGCCACTAGCTGGATTGGTAGGGCTG